AGGTGTACAACAGCTATCATTCCGTCTGGGTCTCAGGAGGGACAGCCACTTGACAGGCTGCTGAGATATTTTTATTCCAGCAGGGCCTGAGGTGTTTCAGTGTGACTGCTGGCACTTTTATTTCTTGGACAAGAATTGTGTATACACACTGCTCAATTTGAATATGCTTGGCATTGTTATGTGAGCCCAATAAATGTCATTTTCAACTGTTTATTGAAGGTTTTAAAGACTGATGATGGATCTGTCTGTTATTTCGCAATTTTCTACCTAATTAAATGTCTGAAAAATAGAATTACACCTGTTTCTTTGCTTTTACTTTACAGTGTCACAAAAAAAGAAGCGATGTGGTGCCAATAGACTATTTTCAGTTCCTTTACTGTCAACACATATCATACAAACATCAGAGGCAAAAACATGTCAGTCTGTCTCTTAATACTTTCTGACTTCTCCACCCTGTCTTTGGCATCCTGCTGTCTTTGAGATCTTAACACCTGCTGAAAATCCTTTTTTCTTACCTTGTTGCAGTGAGATTCAATACTTTGTGAAATCACTGTCAGGTGCATTTAAGCAGCGTTCACATGTGCTTATTGTGCTAAAACAAACGGTGGGTGTGCCCGACATTTAGGGGGTAACTTTGCCTCTGTTACAACAAGGATGGTTGCTCACCATAATAATCAACTTCTCCTTCATTTTGACAGTGAAGGACAAAGGTTCAGTCACCCAAAAATTGATTGTGCGACAACCTCGACCTCTGAGCGTCCACTTTGAATCGCAAGGAGATAGCACAGGTCGCCCGGTAGGAGGAAACCTGTCTCCAATCGCAATCTGACTTGAACCGACGGCGGTCGCTCTCAGACGGGTTGACAAAGGTTTGCAAAATACTGACATGTAACATATCAAAGCAACAAACTGCAATCATTTCCAAGTCGGTCTGCACGGATTAGTACAACTTACCTGTGACATGTCTCTTTGCAATAGTAGACTCATGTATTCCAATTATTACATTATTACAAAAAGATGTCATGTAATTGCAAAATGACATCAAACTTGTCACCATTTCATCGTCGCCTAGATGCACCAAAGTTACTTTGAAGATTCCAACTGACTGCAAGCGGTTGCAGATCTGGTCTCCCCTTTTCAAGGAAACCAAGGCTGCAAATTCATTGCCCACAGTCACAGAAATTTTGGTCATGCTGTGGTATCCAACCACTAAGGAAGTTTAGCACGGCATTCAAAGTATTCAGTCAAAAACAATGATCAATGATTAATTAACTTAACACTCAATAGACAGGAGCCTGGCAACTGTTGCAAGTCTCCGACTAAGACTCAGCTACACAGACAGTTATTGTTGTTAGGATCAGTTCAGTGTTGGATTTGCATTTTCATTGTAGGAATGTACTACAATTTCACTGCACTTAATTTTAACAGTGCTGTCAGCTAACAAAGCTGCCCTAAAGAAGAAGACGCAGAAGTGGCGATCAAGGTGCCACTTCTTACTGAGTATATTCGCCTTCTTCTTCTATACTGTCACAGATGACATCTCATCCAGTCAGATAGTCTCACATGTTCTCCGCATGCAAACGAAAACCTTAAACTGAAAAAAGATGGCACAAATGTAATTTACAAACTACAAACTGAGTGGATTTTTGTTGTTTAGTCAAAGCTGTTTTTCATGCTGTGCAAGAAGTAGTATGAAATAGTTTCATCTGACTGGAGGAAAATGAGCCCTTATGTCTGCAGCTATGGTATCTGTGTGCAGATTCCAATGGGATTACAGTACATTATTGCTAATTATACTTATGTAAAGATGAAAGGCAGCCCACATTAATGTCACTTTAAATACTGAAAAATTAAGTCACAAAAGTGCCATTGCTAAAGATATTCAGTCTGGCAGCATGGAAAACAAATCACTGAGGTCCTCATCTTGCCCACTGGAGAGCAAGGTGATATCAATACGGTCAGAAATGTGGTCAGTGCTAATAAAATCACAAAAGCACTCTGTCCAATTCAACTCCACGAGGTACTATTGAGGTCTCAACCTGTAAATTCATCTCAATGTTCCTCTTTGTAGAAAGAAAATACGAGACCAGACTGATTATTCATGATCACAGCATCTGAATCTGACCTACAGTCCCTTGTTCATTGTAAACAAAGAAAAATCTTCTGGATAAGAATATGCAATGTCACTACAGCACTTGGTAGGTTGCTAATTCTTAACGCTCTGCTAGAGTTACTGGAGACCCGGGGCAGACTTTAACAGAGGATGACATTTTCAGATCACTCTCCTGAATTAAAAAAGGAGAGAGAATAAAAAACACGCCCGAGACAATCTTTAACACAGTTTGCTTCCTACATAACATTGTAAATAATGCAATCCCGAAATGCATTCTTAGGATTCATGAGAGGAGATTTAAACAAACCATGAAAGGCATCAGCTTTCCACTTTGATTTTGGATTAACCTTGCACCCTCCCAAAACTGTGAAAAGTTGTACAAATCAGAAGGAAAAAAAATGCTAATTCCCAGCCAGGGTTGGTGTGCTACTGAGCATGGATGCATGGAAATAAAAGAATTTACAACCTTTTACAATTTATCCATCACATGCTGTTGAGAGTGTCAAACCTGTTAATGTAGACTTCTAAAAAGGATAAAAGTCAAATGTCTCAAAAAATTCCGTAAAAGTAATGAAAATTGTTTCTGTTTGATGTCTAAAAACGAATGCATAAATGGTTCTAAACGCTACTAAAAGCATCCCAAATGGATTAACAACTGTAACAGTTGTGATTCACTGATTGAATAAGATAGCTTTCCAAGAGACTGTACAGCCAAGCGGTTGTAAATGTGGCCAAACCAATTGTTTGACATGAATTCAAATCCACATATTTGCATGCAACGTGACGGCTGGTGTCAGGGAAGAGGTACTTCAGAAGTACTTCAGCTGACAGGGCTGCAAGTGCGTAGCAGACATAAAAGGTTGGGAACCCCAACCTTTACATTATCTGACACAGCGGCAGTGGCGCCGTCCTCTCCAGAATGAATAAATGACATTAAAACAGGAAGACGCTGAATGATTTCATCTATATTCTGCTGAAAACAGCTTGAGGGAGAGTGTGGAAAATGCATAACATGAAACATGACCAGCAGGCATGTAGAAGAAGAAAGGCGCTGAAAATAGAACACGCTCATAGTCCTTTTAGAGTCTTTCACAATTATAGCTCATCACTGTGTGGAGCCTTAAGAGTTCTGCCAAATCTGACTACAAAAGAGAAGCACACGATATGTGAGCTGCTAGGGCATATGCTACCATTATTAAGCCCGCTACGTGGATTTATTTTTTAATATTACAGATGTTTTGCAGCTGTGCTCAAGATCAAAAGCTGTGCAATCCTGTCATCAAATCAAATTGGATTTAGGGAAAGAAAAAAACATCTGATGGGCTTCTGATAGCCTTTGTGCTTGGAGGAAAATGCTCTTTCAGTGTAAGTACAGGAAGGTTACTGACCATAAAAATGCTCCAAGTGAATGCAGATTGATATAGCTGGAAGGTCCTGCAGAATGACAACATTAAAGCCACTTTAAGATGAAATTCCTTTTTGAGATAGGACGTCACTCCAAGCCCTTTTGGGAGAGAAATATTGTGCGGCTCTTTTTCTTTACCAGCAAAGTAAACCATTTAAAGCTCAGAGAGACATTCAGTTTCAACCTGGACTGGGCCATGAATAAGAGTTACCGGGCTTTATGATCACAGATGAAAGGAAAGGAATAAAAGAAAATATCACCGGCCTTGTAAGAATGAGGGAGAGCAAGGCTTTTGATGTTGAAAACCAAGATTCTTTTTTTTATATTTAACTGATTCTTAGAATAGCCATCACAGCCAGAATGTGGACACAGGAGCAGTGATAATATGGCAGATTTTTGAGGCAATGTCAGTCAGTAATAATGCAGAATATCCATAAATGAAAACTAAAATTGAGGCCAAAATATGCCAAACGTGTCATAAAATCGAAAAAATAAACTTTAGCGTAGTTTGTGTTGACACCTGTCAGTCAGATCGGGAGTAAGAGCGGGTTCAGATGTCATTTAGTTAGTGGGGATTTCATTTGGTTGACATTTGGGTTTAAATATAGGCTGCTGCTGCTGCTGTCACGTCCACGGAAGCGCACAGGATTACCTTCCTCTCCTCCAAATATATTCCCTAAATTATCCCACACTGTGTTGCATTCTGGGGCCCTGAAAGGAGTCTCGGGGCTTAAGACGCACACCGTGTAATTGTAACCATAATTACTCGCGACATCCAGAGTTCAAATCCGGCTCAACACCTCAGCCTGCCATCACACGTCAGTCTCCACCCATACAAACTGATGAGGCAGAAAAGCCCTATAAATTTTTCTTTCTTTCTTTTTCCCTGCAGAAAGCGACACTCGAGAGGCAACTTGCAGGGGAAGAGGAGAGGGATCTGACAGGCTCTTTTCCTGTGAGCTCCACAAAACAAGCGCTGAGCGCACACTTAATCACTGTCTTTGAAATTACTTCCTTTCCTTCGCAGTTAATGAATTGATAAAAATGTGGTCTGTGCACAGCCTCATTCATTCATTCATTCAAAAGAAGAAGAGGCGAGAAAAGTCAAAAGAACAGTAGAGGTTGCCTAAACGCCCGACACCTTTTGATCTGGCAGCTCCACCGGTCAGAAGAGCGCGTACACTGTGCATACACAGGTTGTAGCCCTGAAGCTCATCCGGCAAACCTCATCCATCACACAGATGTCTGGTTTTAAAAATAAATCTGGCAGACTGCGACCAGGACGATGGCCAGTACTCAACTGCAGCAGCACAGCCAGTTTCCATCTCAACACGCACAAGAGTAACCCAAAGGCAATTTAAGAAGCCAGTTACTGTCAACACCGCGTTCCTCTGTTTGCTCTGAATGTGAGGGTAACCGGTTGAACACATTTCCTGCAGTAATCACTTAAGAAGAAGAAGAAGCCTTGAACAACAATCTTACCTTTTTCTCCCTGGAGCGAGGATTTGGCTCAGCTTGGACTGACACGGCTCAGCTGCTGGCGAAGAAGACGCTGAAATAAATGAGCTACTCCGGTGGATGCAGCCGCGACATGAGCTGAAGAAAGTGAGGAGAGCAGCAGCGCAGAAGATTTGAAACGGCGGAGCAGCGCAGCGCTGTACCGGCGGCGGAGTCTGTGCCTCTGACGCTGACATCAGAGGGCTGCTTTAAGGTGGCTCCGCTCGTTCACATCGGCGACACGGCACACGCGGGGAGGCTTCCAGGCGCCCGGTTTAACTATCGCAGTAAAGATTATAAGCTGCGAATAAAATGAAACTGTAATAGAAAACTTGCGTTGTTGGAGCTGAGGTGGGGGATCGGTGGGAGCTGAATGGGAGCCGTCCAAAGAGAGCTCAGGAAGTCATTTAGCTCAAGGTTGAGAGAGAGCGCGCACAGCTCCGCAACTCTTCATCATTTTACAGCAAACCCAAAACTTCAGTCAAGCCTGGAAGATGTGAAACAAAATTCTGACTTTCGGTTTTTCCTTCCAACCCAGTTCTGGGTTATGTCAGCCACAAAATATCAGCAAACAATGAGCATAAACCTTTCTGTTATAGGTCCATAAATACGGAAAGGATGGCGCACTTCTAACATTAATGGAGAACTACTATGCTCATTTCCAGCCTTATATTTTATTCTTGGAAACCAACAGATTAGCTTTGCATGATCAACAGTTCAAAATAAACGCTAGTAACCCTTTAAACCAACTTTTCTCTGATTGGCTGCCCCTGTCAAACAGAAGATTTGAACAGCAGGTGGGCGGGGCTTCTGTAGTTGGAGTTTGCTGTGTGCCTGAGAGGGTCACAGTAAATATATCCCCACTTGGATGCCGGTTTAGCTCATTTGGTAGCGCAGGTGACCCATATGGCAAAGGCTAATTCGGACACCTGGTTTGAATTTACCTTGCTCGATCCTTTGCCCAGGTTTTTTTATGTTATTGCAATAAAGGCCAAGAATCTATTCCTCTCTAAACATTCTGTAGAACAAACCATAGATAAACTTAGCATTTAGGGATTATTTTCATATAAACTGACCTTATTATTCAAAACTTTGGCCATGTTTGTATCAGTGTGTGGTCTGTAAAGGTACAAGAAAAAAATGAAAGAAAATATAAAGTACCGGAGAGCGCAACACACTGCACCATGCACAGCACTCCAAGGATGCAACCACGGGGTTTGAGTCAGTGAGCTTTCATTTCCTCAACAAATGATGAAATTAATAATTTGTTGCATAACCAAGATACACTGTGCTCAGTTCGAATTTTTTTTCCCAAGGGTCCACTTGAGCTCAGCAGTTCTCTGAATCTTTCCAATTATCCTGCAAACTGGGTTCTATCCAACCTTCATAGGGTATAACCAAAAAACTGAAAAAAAAAATGAAAAAAAAGAAGAATTCAGCACTGAGTATGTGGGAGTTTTTTTCAATTGCTTTTAGAAAGTATTTTCTTCAATAAACTTCAAAATTATCTGGAAATGAAGAAATGTGGACAATATACACACACGAGCACAACAGAAGTTAAACATTCAAGATTCTGACTTAGGATAAAATAAAAAAAGAAGAAACTTCAAGTCCACGTAGTGCTTTTGTTTTGTTTTAAAGCATTTAAAAAAAAATACAAGTAGGGTATGATCCAGGTTGGCTCGCACCGAAATTAGACAAATACCATTTTATAATGGTGGACTAGAATTCACGAGAAAGAAGCAAAACTCAGGGATTTAAATTATTTTAAAATAAACTATGAACTGTGAGTGCTGTGTTCTTTAGAAACAACAGGTGTTATTTATTTGCATAAAAAAGGAAAAGTCTTACACTTGTTTATTTTTCAAGAGTGCAATTAATAGGTTTGCAGCTGACAAGCTGTACAAGGGGAAAAAAAACACATTATGCCATCATTGTTAAATGTACAAGACAATAAGGACAGATAAATGTATTTACATAAAAACTACTCGCACACTTGGAAGAGGCGAGGGGATACATATGTACAAGTCTTTTTTAAAAAGGGGGGATATAAGAAGCGAGTTGGCGCTTTTTTCCTTCTCCGCCGGGTTCAGCTTCTACCTCCGCTGTGCGTCAACCTGACCATCGTCTGCTTTCAGCTGCCAGCTGATGTTACTCTGAACAAAATGTTTAAGGCCGTCATAGCCCTGAGTGAACAAATACTCCAGGTACCAACTCCATGGCTTGGAGTGCTGAAACACACACACACAGAAACATGTCAGGTCAGATTGCAGACATCTGAAGATTTGTGTGATCAAAGATGTCTCTATTAATCTATGAAACATGACCGATGCACATCAAACTACACCTGAACTTTATTATAAATGCAGGGAAATGAAAAGGAACCTCTCATACCTTTATGGAATTGAGGTCCATGTCCTTTTTCCCCGGCCAACACTGATGAAAAGAGAACATTAATATTTATCGACAGCCAGCCTTCGTGAATCTCACAGGATCACTGCTGGATGATGCAGTTGGACCCAACCAAAAAATAAAAAAGGTGCGGATATTATTAAACTTGATGAAAAACCCCATCTCACGCTGCACTCATTAATAATAAAATCTCCTTCTGTATTAATGCATCATCTGTGAAAGATACATTAACACCACATTTAGCTGGTCTGTAAGATGAATAACCGCGGTGCCTGCTGATTCAAATTCCCTGTGTGGTATGAAAATAAGCATGGGTTTTACTGTAGCATGTAGGATTCAATCCAAATCGAGACAAATGCCGCGCACTCACCTTCTGGTGAAAGTTGACCGCGTAGCTCATGAAGGCGGGATGGTGGACGAGGTCGAAGCTCGACCCGTACTGTGGCACGTTACTCTTGAGAAGCAGCTCCTCTCCCAGCTGTACGCCCATCCCTGGATGAAACATTCTGGAGTTCCACAGGCAGTTGACCATGACGACGACGTAGTGGTTGAACTCACGGAAAGTCTGGCGGCTGATGTGAAAGGCCTGCTGAGAAGCACATTTCCAAAAGGAGAAACTAAGAAAGTGGAGTAAGAGTATAGCCGAACTACAGAGATCTGATGCTGTGATGATTAATCTGAATACCATTTACCAAGGCTGTTTTACTTAATAAAGGCTGCCAATGACATTTTCAGGCACACATACTGGCTTGACTGACATGTACTTTCAAATTCGCAGCTCACAGTGACTGCTGTAATAAAGGACAACTTTAAGTTCACATCTGAGAAGATATTAAAGTCACCAGGTTTAAGTAGATGCTCCTAAAGAGCTTTACTATTAAATCTACAAAAGTGAATGAAGGGGCAAAACACAGAGAGAGCATCGACTAAAACATTAAAGCAGAAAATTAATGTATAATATTGTTCACATGTTCATTTTCACATAACAAAAACAATAAGCATCAATCTTTACCTCGGTCACTTTCTCTTGGCTCTTGGCTGATGTCAAGTTCACTTTGTACCTGATGAAAATAGAAGAAAAATAAATAAATAAAAGCAATGGACCAGTGGCCTCTGTGATCATAAATCACTGCACAACAGCCAGTTCTCTATGGTCAGTCAAAACACACCGTGCAATTACGTTTTAATTTTGGAGTCACGGCTTTTTACTCTTAGCTTTGGTAAAATTATTTTAAGACCCCAGGGTGTACTCAATTCGTTGGGCTATAAGGACGTGTGTTATTAAAGCCTGGAGTTATAAATGATACTAGAATTCCATGTAAGGAAAGAATCTGGGCTTTAGGGTATTGCCCCCTGGCCTCCATCATTAATAATGCCTTAACATGCAAGTTCAATTAAGCCATTTGATTCCAATTCAGTCCCTTTATCAAATATGTATAAGCAGCATATGACATACTACATTTAGGGCATTGCTAATGTATGCATTAAGATAAGCTTATGGCAGCTTCCCATAGAGGTGCTGAGCACCCACCTGTGCATGATGTAGGCCAGTCGGTCCACGCTGACGGGGTCAGTGGCAAACAGGGCTGGGTAAAAGACTCCAGCTGGAGGCATCACTATGAGAGGGAGGCCATACTTCAGAAATGTGTCACAAACCTGCGGGAGGAGAAAAACATGTAACAAACACCCACAGAGATTAAAAACGTTAAAGCAGAGGCTCAGACATAGAATATGCATCCCCGCTGAACCTTTTAGAAAGAGTGTGCTCTGCTACAAGTTGATCTTTAAAGCTGTTCAGGGAATCTCATGTTCTCTCCCTCTACTTGCATTTTGCTAAATAAGACTGGGCTTGTGTTTTTAAGGTGTCAGACCCTACAAATACCATCATTCTGCAAGGTAGGGGTGGTGAAACATCTCGAGGATGTTTTATTTTTTGTGTCACTATATAGAGACAATAACAAATCGCAAACACAGATTATGACAAAACAGATAAAATCATTAACTCCAGCTTCTTCTTCTTTTTTACCGTCTCATAGAAGTCCAGGACGAAGCTGAGGAGGAGACAGTGACAGCCTTCAAGCTGAAGGCCCACAGAGGCCAGTCGACCCACAAAGTGAATCAGCTCCATCACCGAATCCTTAAACCCAGACAGAGTCATGTTTCTGGAACACAGGGCAAAAGAGTCACTTTACCCAAAACGGATGTTAAATGACACCTGTGACAGCATTTAACTCATGTCCTTTGAAACTTTGTTGCAGTTTTCCATATAAAACACAGGAATCTATCCAAAGCAGCTCACTGCAAACACAAATGACAAACACTGAATCAAACAGATACAAACACAATGCGTGATCAATGATTTCTTCAATGAGTTGTACACTGGGTAAATACCACAGGTGAACTTGGAAATGGCACTGAGTAAAATGGATCTTTCCACTGACTGAAGGCATTTATTGCAGGATTAAACAAGTGATGAAGCTCAGGCATTTAAACATAATTGACTCGTACGCCACCCTTCAGTTTGGAAGCTAGAAAATCGTTTCCCTGGATATTAAGGTGCCACTTGTTCCCAAACAAATTTCAAATAAAGGACTTGTATAAACGAGCTCAAAACCCAAAGGGAAAACATACAATAAAGACTTCCGCCTGATTTGCTTTAGCTGTTAGTGGATAACAGATGGATTCAATTCAAGATAAATAGTTGCAACATATACAAATGTCAGTTGTCTTTCAAGATTTAACGTAATCAAGAATTTTTTAAAAAGTTGCAACGAGAGACTTGACATTTAACTTAATTTGCCAATAATCAAAATTAAAACTACTCTGTTTTGTCCTTGGGGAAAGTAATTAGTCAATTAAGGCACAATAAATAAAAAGCCAACTTCTATGAGAAAGCATTTCGTGACACAAAGTACAAGTTTCAAGCATCAAGAAAGCAGGAAGCAGATGTAATTTTATAACTAGGTTATCATATTTGGCACTTTAAGTTCTCAGAACATGGGTGTCTAACCAGATATCGGCTATGTATTACATTACTTGGCCTGCAGGATGTGTCATTCACTCCCTAATAACCTTAAGCTTGAGGTCTGGCTTCTTTCTCTTTACAGTTCTACCAATATTCAAAAAATCCCATCTCAAAGCAACAGTGAAAAACTATATCATGGATTTTTTTTTTTAACTTCTAGGCTGAAAATCTATAATTCCATATCATCAGGTTGTTCTAAAGGCTCTCCAAATCTAGGATTACATTCAAAATCATTTACATACAAAGCCTCGAATGATCAAATTACATCATCATATTTTAAAGACCTCTTAATAATTTCGAACTTTCCTTTCTGATAAAGCCTATAGTTATGGTTTAAACCGAACCATCCACTGCTTATACTCCTACAGGCTCAGGCGGAACTTCCCATGATGTACTGAGTGTTTTGTTTCGATACCTCTCTTTTCTTTCCTCTACGAATTTCTCACTATTGTAAGCCATTAACTTCTGTCTGCACTCTCCTGTAGTTTGTGTTTTGTTCTGTTTGCTGTTCCTGGTGTTTGTATTTTCCTCTGCCTTGTCTTCAGCTGTTGGTCGTGCTGACAGTTTTTACTTCCACGAGCAAAGCCTGTAATCCTGGAGAAGCTACGGAGAAAACAACGGGGTCTCAGAGCAGGAGCTGTTCCAGCGATCATCGTGGAGAATGTGAGGTGTTTGGACAGTACTATGGATGAGCGCGGTGAGCTGACTGAGCCCCACGGGGGAACACAGAGAGTGGAGTTTGATGTGCTTCATGGAGTGTTGCAGCGAGGCACTGACACACTCATACATCCCCGACCACAGTGTGACTGTACCTGGATTCAGGATTTTTCAGGGACATTTATCTCCAAGGTAAGAAGAAATGTGGAAGGGTTGAACTAGTGATTGAAAAGGGGAGTAGTCCTGCACATGTTACTGCACAGGAATGTTTATCTGGCTTGAGTAATGAACCACTCGCTGTTGGAAGGTGTCCATTTCACTTGCGTAGGGAATTTGTCATTACTGATGTCTGCTGTCTGAATCAACACACTGTTTGTTTCCTCCATCAGCTGATGCAGAGGTCATCCAAATGACTGAGGATGTGTTAAATGGATGTTGATCATTAATGGATCGTGACCTCTGCATCGCTTACTGGTTATGCAGCTGAACACGTTCTATAATATCTGAAACCAGGGAGGATTTTTACCTCTGCATACCACAATGCTCTCCTTAGGGAATCGTATTAGATTTCTATTTATTGGGGTCTTCACGGTTTTTTGGATTTTCTATTCAACATATCTCAGATTTTGGAATAAATCAAGTGGCTGTCCCTCCCTGAGCCCGATTCTGCTGCAGGACTCTTGTCTTCCTCCCTACTTTCTACTGCATGCTAACGTCAGATTGCTAAATCATCCAGGTTTACTTCCCTTGAAGTGACTATTGCTCAGAAAACACGCTATATACATGGAACTAAATATAACTGAACAGATGTGAAACTCACATGGACGTGTGGCTGTTGAGGCTGATGTCCAGGTCGTCTTCCAGAGCATAAATGGAGTGCCAGGTCAACCACTTCAACAGCATATTGTTAAGACACTCCATCAGTCCACACTGCAGAGATACAAACACGAAAGAGAGAAAAAGAACCAATTATGCAGCATGTTAAACACTGAACTACTCAAGGGCTTTGTTGCGCTGTTTTTCACTACTGCATTTTTTTTCCCTAATAACTTTGAACAGTAATGGGAGCAAGTTTGATCTGTTTGTGTCTGCGAAAGAAAAGCCTACCTTGAAAAACAATGAGGATGTGAAGAAAAGCTGCATGAGAGGCTCAAACAGAAGCCTTCTGATCTCTGAAGGGGGAGACAAAAGGTCACTATTGTACCTGACGTACAATTCAATGCGTTACAGTTCCCTACATAAAGGACAAAATGACAGCTTGCTAAGATGAGAACATGACTGTGATTTTATTCAAGTGCACGACAAGATCAGAGAGAAAACCTGTGTTATGTAAGTGTACGTTGACAGACATAAGGAGAGAAAATTGAGCTGTGAAGAAAGACGGTCATAGAAAGCAGTGATCTGTGGAGGTAACACTCACGGGAACTTGGAACAACCGGAATGTTGCTCAGCAGGCCGAGGATCTGCGGACGGAGTAGTGAGCCGTCCCAAACATTCAGAAATTTATAGAGGAAAACCTCTGAACTGGAAAAGCCCTCCTGTTGGAGAAAATTATGATGTGAAATAAATCTTTGGCTCAGCGTTGGTACACAGCACGTATCAGGTACGCGTGTGGCGCCAGGTTCATGAGCATCAGAAATAATGACGATGTCAGTGAGCTGTGGACGTCGCTATCAGGGGCTCACCTGCAGAAAGTGCTGTGCAGACAGCAACTTGTTCAAAAACTGGAGAGCTTCTTCTGAAGTCTGACTGGGTCCTCCATCGCCACAGAATAAAAACTCTTTAAAAAATACAGTCAAAAAGGGTATTTACTGCGTGAAAAATTCAGAGCACTACAAAGAGGACAGCAGGAGATTTCAGATGCACTGCATCTTCACACGGAGACATACTCTCATATGTCTTTAAACCCTTCTGTAAAAGAATCCCTTTAACATGGCAACAAAGTTATGTTGGGGTTCAGCTCAAGGTCAGCTCTGCTTTTCCTCTAACTTCTAGAAAGAACATGTCACAGCAGTTATGTAGTGTGTAGTGTGCGTTCCCGACTTACCTTCGTGAAAAGCGTAGCCTAACCAGAAATTGAGGCGAAGGAGGGCAGACTCATCCTGCACACAGTCCAGGTACTGCAGCGCCAGACTGGAACCCAGCAGCGAGCCCATCTGAGCAGGCAGCTGGTGGAAACACATAAAGCAAAATTGTGATTAAGAAACTAAAATAACCAGAAAGACACATAAAGACAACAGGTACACAGAAGCAAAAAACAAATAAACAAACACAGAAGCTGAAATAAATAAGAGAGTAAGAACCAACAGATGATCGTGTCCTTATCACAGGGTTGGCCACCAATCTAATTTTAAGCCAGTTCCTCGGTATCTGGTAATCCCCATAATGGCAGTACTGGGACACTTCTTCCACCACACTGGATAGTTTTATACAGTCCCTTATTGTGGCTGAACAGCTGCCTCTCAATATGGGGACTTTGTCAATTTAATACACGAATTAGAATGAGAGAAAGACAGACTGTAAATGGACACAACTCAGCTCTTCAGTAATTATGGAGCAACTGTATCGTTAAACTGAGAAAGCACCATTCTGCTTTTGACAACAAGAACGCCGGCCGTGAGGGAAATAATCAATGATCCTTTGTCAATGCCGTAACCGAATAGTTTTATGAGGGAAATTGATTGTACTCATCTGTCTTTCCTAACACGTGGCAAAGCACCACTCTCCCTGCCATAAACACATTTGGCACCAACGCCCTCCAAGCCTTATTGTCCACGTTTGCTTTGTGGGCAGTGAAAGAGGTGAATTTATGTAGCATGACGCATAAAACCCTGCAATCCATTTAAAATGACTTACATTGGTTTATCAGGTCACTGAATCTGCAGGGCAAATAGACATTTATGGAGAGGCCTCTCTAAATGACCATTTGCTTTGCAACTTTGTCCAATGCATTACTCAGATACATCTCCACTAACATCCCTTGCTTTCATTACTCATAAAGGACAAATAACACGCTGATGATATCTGTAAAAATAAAAAAGCAACAGCCTGTTTAAAAAACAAATGACAAGCACTCTGCTCATGAAGTCAGTTTGTGCTCTAATATAATAAACAGCCACAGGCCACTTACGCTGTGGTTTCTCTAGGTCAAAGTTTTTAATGGCCAAGCACAACAAACTCATACAAATACAACAGTAACACAGCGCCACCCTGTGGCCCAGAGGATATATCACAATTTAAACACAGCCACTAAAGGGAAAACAATTCTTATGGACCAGTCAGACTTGAGGTGTTGTGCCATTTTGCATCAATAACATGTCTTCTTTCCCACTTGTGAAAATAAAAGCCCAAAATACACATTTAGATATTTTTACTGCACTTTCTCTGCTGTTTAAGCAAAGTAATAATGTTAGATTTTGTGTATGTAATCAAATGGTGATGCTTCAAGTGTATATTTAAGTAAAGAATTTATTTTACTAGTACATTATAATTGTATAACATTCTATAAATACTTGTACTCTGATCCAAAAATCCTCACTTCAGTAGCATGTCCAAACTTTCCAATTTGATATCTATGCGCCCAAAGTTTTTACTGAGTCACTCAAAGCCTGCTGAACTGGTGACTTAAATGTGATTTGATCCAAGATCTGGGTTTCTTGCCAATTTACACGCATAATTTAACTGGCAATGCCCAGTTTGCATATTTAAACATAAAAGAAAATTCCTAATACAAAAAAAAAAAACTTCTGTAATGTAAGTAGTCACCTGAGGAAGTTGGTATTTTTGTTATACGCCTGTTATGAGACCCCTTAAAAGGACTTCTCCTTCTCTTTTGCCTTTCTTGTGAACCTGCTGTGGGGGCTCAGTATGAGATGCTGCATCTTTACATATATATTCCTTATGAAAAAGCCTGTTTAAAGCCACAGACAGCTGGAGTCCTCACGACAGAGTATTCTCTCCTGTTTTACTTCGTCCAAGTCCACTTTAAACTTGCTGCCTGGGCGCATGAATAGTTGACGAGTTCTAATATCAGTTCTCCACAGGTGAGTTCCTTGCACTCACTCTTCAATGACGAAATTTACATGATAGGGACTCAAGCAGACACAAAACGTATAAAACCCGTTTAAGCCACAAGTTCTTGCCATCCATTCAAGTAGCCAGTGTACTTGTTCTAAAAGTGAAAAAGTAATTTTCATTATATATTCTCTTTTCTCTTAATTCCATGTTAGTAGTTTAGATCATAGATTTGTCTTTTGCTTCACTATTAGTCCATCCTGAGACCGCAGTGTTCCTTTGACAGCTGTCATCACTGCTGGTGTTTCTTGGTAGTTAGGAAGAAGGGATTCTCATTTTCCTGCTGCATCTGATTTACTGGGACACTTCAGTGGCCAACTAGAATACATTATATTCTGTTGCTGAAATGATTTACAGCTGATCTGTAAAATTGAACTAGATAAGAGGAAGCAACACAGCGAAAGATCAAGATGCCTCCCCAGTGTCGGCACTCGACAGATGCAGAACTGAGATTTATCACAGGAGAAATTACCTCTATACGATGCATATTTTCCAACAGCTGAGCAAAAGAGTGGAGCTCCACCAGTGGGACCATCCTTCTGCTGGAGGACTGCTCAGACTGAGCTTCTTTGTTCAGTGCAGGAATCAAAGCAGGAAATTCCAGGTGGCAGTGTTTCTAAGAAAGAAGCAGAAAGTAAAAAGCAAAGGAGTTAAAATCATGATAAACTGCTTGAATACAAATAATTATGTATCTCCTTTGACTAACAGTTCAAAACACAATGATAATGAACGGAAGGGAAAAAAGCATCAGGCAGCACAAGAAAATGTACAAAGTAATCAAGAAAATGATCTGCAGTGTACATCTGAATGAAAATATGCCAATTTTGTTTGCTGGCACAAATAAAGTACACACTAATGTGAACCTCCAACAAATGAAAAGCTGGGAAGGTACTGTCAGGCAGCAGCAGTAGCTGACGGTTGGCTACAAACCCAATAAAAGATGCATACCCTTTTTCTTGGGTTGGTTTTATCCTTGTTTGTGACCAGACTCATGCTGGAAGCGCCTTGCAAACCGTTCCTCTTCTGGACAGCAATCAATGCTGATTGCCAGGGAGAAATGTGGTTCCTAAACCCACTCTGCAACAAAAGATGAAAACCACCATGTTTGCTTTGTTTTCCAGAGAATGGTCGTATTCCAAGAGCAAGTATGTTTTAGGTACAAACCTTCATCCGTGATGGAATGGAGAGTGTCACCAGTTCAGGGCAAAACACTTTGTAAAGTGACAGTAGGTGCAGGAGGAAAGACTGTCTTCCCTGAGAAGAAAACAATAAACAATCAGTCCCATCTTTGTACTCTGCATCACATTTTTTGTTTCTTTCATAATGAGATGCGCGACATGGGCAACTGGAGGGTAACTGTTTATGGGAAAATTGTGCCGTTGCATTTCTGCAATTAAATTCCAAAATGATTCTCACACTGAGGAAGGAAATAATGAAATTCACTTGATTGATGACGACATCAAAACTGCAGGATGCTTACCAGTTTAGATTGTAGTTCCAGTAGCTTCCTGACTCTGAAGACTCGCACTACCGCGACAAAATGAGATGTTAAAAAACCTCAGAAAAGTGATGAGGAAAAAGGTGAAACAAAGAAGTAAACTGAAAAAAGGGAGAATAGTATTTTCATAGTATAGGGATCTGATTTCAAGGATAAAAGTATTTGGCTTACCGCTTTCCTTTCGGGTCAAAAGGTACAAGAGATGGCAGATGAAAGGACACTGAAAAATTTTGACAACATGATTAATCAATTCACACCTTTAAAACATAACTATTTATCTTGCCAGCTGTTAAAAACACAGTCCAGCTTAGTGAAAAGCGTGCCTGACATGTGTAAATGCCATCGGATTTGTCTAAACAGTCATTTCAACCCATTATTATAAAGATCGCCAGCACTTACCAGATTTTCATCTGTGACAAAGTTGAAGATGAAGCCATAAATTGCTCGTAGCTGGTCCTTTGCATCAATCATATCAAATACAGTCAATACCCACTTTATGAAAAGAACCTGCATGGAAGAGAAGTAAGTTTGATGGTCGTTAATGTCACACTCTTATCAAATAGAACAATGAAATCATGTCTTCAGTGTGACCCCAGGAATAAACAAGGCATGAAACTAAACAAGTCTGAACTTCAAAACACACCAGAAGAACTTCAGAAGTGGAGTATTTGAGCCTGAGTTGTATTTTATTTTGGAAATTGGCTGGTATCTCTTAACTGCTCCTACGTCTCACTTCCTGTGCTTTTCAGCTGCTCTTTGGAATCCCAAAATATACCTTGTGCTAATTTTAGTGTGGCAGAGCTGAAAAGTTGGACTTGGTGGATTTACAATCATTATACTAAACAGACACGACTGGAGCTCAAACAGAGCTGCAACACAGCCAGACTCACGCGTTCCCTGGACAAATATTCCTCCAGACAATAATTAATGAACAGAAAATGAGAAGAAGCTTTAGGCACATCAAACAAACTTTTACTGCCCCAAAAGTTAACTGAATCCCTAAAGAAGGATTGGAAGTTATAATATTTCCTTTAGTGCAAATATTTTACGTGCACTTACTTGAGTGCTGATGGGCATCTTGCCAACGCTGAGCCAAACCACTGCTCGAACAACAGCCTCCTGTGGCACCACAGAGGCAGGAATCAGACACTTGAGCACCCGGACACATGGAGAAGTCCCTGCACAGAAAATTCAGAGCAAAATTTATCAAAAGAAGCCTTAAAGAGTGCAGAACGACGTAATATCAAAGACATTGCCACACATTTTTTCACACTGTACAATTAAAAGAATGAAACTCACATCACATCGATTAGAAATAATAATTCTTTATATTGTATAAACTATACAATTAATATTATATTACTATATAGATCTTTTCAATTAACCTTCACAATATTACATTGTGGAAGACTACAATAGATCTGTTGTGCTTATGCTCTCTTTTTCTATTGACAGTACAAAGACTGGCAGGGTTGGTGAATTGTTGTTTTCAAATCAGTTAAGTGTGAAAAGTGTAACCAAAAGTACATTTGCTAGGTCCTCAATCTGACAGACTCCTGCTCTCTATAATTCTGTTACACAAGCCCATCCTTCCTGCTGGAAATTCCCCAATTTACCCAGTTTGAGGCTGATGCAAAGACAGTCTTACCCATACGGAGGCTCATGGCAAACTCCAGCATAATAGAAACTGCTTCTGGGGGAAGTCCCTGACTATAGGCCACCTTTTCCACTTGCACCAGGTTCTTCTCCAGCTCATCATTCCCCAGAACAGGAGTCCCTGCTTCAACTACACGGAGGAGAGGTGACATTGTATTAAAGTGTGTACATTTATATAAATGGAAAAAACACTTACACTGATATTTCCTAAGAGACTTCAGGAAAGACATGATTCTAAATTGCCCATAAGTGTGAATGTGAGTATGAAAGGTTGTCCGTCTCGATGCGTTAGCCATGCGACAGACTGTCGATCTGTCCAGGGTGTACCCTGCCTCTCGCCCTATGGTAGCTGGGATAGGCTCCAGCCTACCCTCATAAGGACCAGCGGAAGAGAATGGATAGATGGATGTAAACAGTTTTATGTAAAGAAGTGACTTGCAGGGCCTTAAAATGGAATGTGTTAATGAGCTGATAAGCAAACAAAACAAAACATAAACAAAACAGTTTCACACACTAGAATAAGTCAGCAACTTTGATATCGGATGACAGGGTATGAGCTGATATAAACAGTTTGCTTCATCAGACCCCCCAGAAAAACAGTTTATTACATGTTTACTCACTGCGACATAAAAACGGTCTGTTTTCGCAATTTAGCTCAGTGTTAAATCCATCATCAAATATTCACGCATTTGCTGGCTTCTCATTAAGAATAACAAAAACAGACCACAGCGCTGCTGTCATCTAGAGTCAAATCACAGAAATAATTTAGACTTTTCCTGGTTACAAGGACATTGGGGGTTATTTAGATACAACACAGCTCCAGGGTGAAAATATTTGTCAGATTAGTTAAAAGTAATAACAAATTAGTTGGCTGATGCTAGACAATGTTTGATGCTTTATTGCTTACATGCTAAAGTATTTAATCAGAAGGTGTGTGGTACATTCCTTTTTCTGCATTTTCAAGAAAATAACAAAAAATACATTAAAAATGTGAAGACAAAAACAACTAAAATGATCTAAAATAAAACATCCAAGTGATGTCAGTCTCTTGAATCATTTCATCCTTGAATCCTTTTATGTCAAGTTAATTAATTAATGCATCCAATGCCTTTTAAGATGTTTAATAAGTTGCAGGAACCAGGGTCACTGTAGGCAAGTAATTCAGGAATGCATCACTAACAGTGCCTTTAACCACTTCATCACTAGCACTAAATAGAACTAACATAAAATAACAAGAATAAGAACACAGATGGTGAAGATATGGAAGAGAATCCTGGATGAATAATTAACTCATATCTAAATATTTATGAGAGATACTAATTTCTGGAGGGAAAAATAAAACAAAGAGTCAAAAGAGCACAATTAAAGAAATATAAAGACTCTTGAAAATCACATGAGATGGTTCAAAATTCAATACAACACAGTTTTTCAGTCCTGTTGTCATGCACCACAAATGTTCAAAGTTATGCAAAAACAAAATCATTGGAAATCCACTTGTACTGGAAAGAACTGCAGCTCCACATATTCTTTCTGGTTAAGAAATGCTACACTAATGTCTAATCGGCTAAAAGGCTATAATAAAGGTTGTGCTCAATTATTAAAAATGATGAAGTTAATCACATTTCTGACATGTAGTAAAGCATAATGCAGTGTGTTGAAAGCCTTTTTACCCAGTTAAAGTTACTTGTGACTGTCGTAGGTCTATACTTTCCTGTTCATGTAAATACTGGAATGTTTGTGTTTTCAATGCTGGCTTAATACTAGGTCTGACAGAAGATTGCTTACCTGCTTGTTTAAAAATAATGATGATTACCCGTCAGTAACTACAAGTTACATCACCACTCCATTGGCTGCAAGTGATATTTTAGTTGAATATTTACATCTTAGGTTGTTTAAAATTACTATAAGACTCTTCTAACCACCTATTTGAAGGAAATCCTCCACATAAGTCAACAGATTTTGAAATACTTAGTTCAAAAGAAAGCTGTCAATCTACTATATTTGTCTGGGTTATTGATTTAATGCATTAACCCTGTAGCAAACTGGTGGTCTGTCCAGGGTGTACCACACCTGTCACCTTATGACACCAGGGATAGGCTTCAGGCCCCGTGACAATGAATTGGGTAAGCAGACGATAAATCGATAGATGCCCCGATGGATGGTTGGTTTAACCACATAAATCTTTTAGAACAAATTAATCTATGTTTTCACTGAGACTGTAAGAATAATAGCCCTGTGATACAGTTGTGACTCACTCGCTGTCAGCTATGACACGGAAAGGGGCAAAATGTTAAGGAAATGATTGGATGAGATGGATAGTAAGAGTGACTATTTTT